CCACATTGCGCAGGGGCGGAACAATGCACAAGTTTAACATCATCAGTGAAAAGGAATGGTTTCTCGTAGAAGATTTCATCAAAGAGTTCGTTGAAATCGATCAAGAATAAAAGCGGACCTAGCACGCTACCTTGGATCACTTTAATAGAGATTGATGTGGCTTCAGATGTATAATTACCGATTTTGACTAATTGTTTTCTACTCTCGAGGTAGGAAAACAACCACTCTAGAAGCGAATTTGTGATACCGTAGGACATAACCTTCCGCAACACTAAGTTTTCTGGGACACGGTCGAAATCCTTTTGGATAAATAATAAATAGTACAGCGATGGCACTTCCGGCGTCACTTTCTCTAGTCACCTAATCAAGATAATCTAACTGACAGGTAGTGCATGACCTATCTTCCAAAAAACCGGGCTGAAGTTTACTGTGTAGACTCACAGAACTCAAATATTCTGATGTTCGTTCTTTAACTAACCTCTCCATAATTCTGGAGATAATAGACGTGTGGTTGATTGGGCGGTAATTTTTTACATCTTGCATAGATCCGCTTTTGCGTCGTGGTATTATACTTGATCGTTTCCAGTGCATAGGATACTCTTCATTGAGCATGAAAAGTGTAAATTCATTAAGCAAAAACAGGGGGATGTCTGCACCTCCGTGCTTGACTAGAATTGACGGGATGTTGTCAGGGCCTGGTGAGCATGATGGCCGAACGAATCTGAGTTGGCGACGAATGTCACTAAGTGTGAATTCACTAGTTTGGAGTTTACTAATATCTTGTGTAGTAGCTTGTTGAGGATCCGCTCTCACATTAGTGCTGTAAGTAGATATGAAGTAGTCCCTGAAGCTCGAACATATGATTGCGAGATCTGTTCTGGCAGTTCAATCAGAGTTTACAATCGAGTTTATATAACTTGATTTTCTATTCCGTCTACGGTTCAAAAGTTTTGAGATGCAGCCCATCACGTTGGCGTCCTTCAGTAACATTACCTCCTCAAAGCATAACATTTTGTGGTGACCATGTTATAAGGCTGCTAGCATTCTGGTGTGGGGCATCAGCAGTGTAAAATCATTTATTTTCCTAAACCTTTATTTTATGCAGTTTAGTGGCTATCTTTTTCGAGATGTCTGCAGATGCAGCAGTCCTTTTCAACTTCTTACTATGTTCTGGAGCCACAAGTTCAACATAAAGCTGAATCCCGTGGTAGAACTCATCACAAGCAATGTGTACATTCTGTGCTAACAATAATCAATCCCAATTTGAGGGCCTTATAAGACCAGAGATAATTGATCAATTCACTGTAAAGCGTGGGCGGTATTTGATCACTGATTCTATTGGTCTAGAAAGAATTTGGAAAGAACAACCAACAATGTTATGATCAGTACCCGGCAATCTGTCACTGATGTATGTGGACACACGTGAACACCCCATAGTACATATTACACCAAATGTGTTACCAAACAGGGTAGGCTCTTTGAGGTGCTGTACCCATCCCAGTCGACCAAGTGTAGAGATACAAGTATCGTGTTTTGGTGATTCATCGTTAAGGGACCATGGGATTTCGGGTATATTAAAATCCCCAGCGATTATTATATTAGTGTATGAGAGGTTGGCAATAAAAGAAAAAGTGTCTGTCAAGTGGTCAGTTACGATGAGTGCAGACGTTGGAGGGTCTGTAAATGCAACCTACTAAAAGATTTGTTGGATTAATAGGAATGGTAATCCACACCGAACAAGGAATTTTCCGTAGGTGGTTCATCCTGAGAGAGAAGCAAGTATGTCTTTGACGTCGAGTATACAGCCGCCACCATTAACATAAAGGCGGTCATTACGAAAGAGGTTCTAACCCAGTATCCCGAACAATGTGTCTGGTATCTCAGCTAAACACCAGCTTTCTTATTAGTACTATATCAGGAGAAGAAAGTTAACCCATGTGACCCAAGCGCCTCTTATTGTGTCCTAAGTTTGACTTACCTGACCTAAGGCAAGAGGTGGTTACTCTTGATTCATTAAGAAATGCCAAGTCTCTGTTATTAGGGTAGCCAACTGTTGGTAGTCAGCCAACAATAACAATACCTGGTGCCATCAGTACTGGTTTGTTCGGTCCTTGTCCGACCGACCACACAGTGTCTCATAGACATCCAATCTCTCCAGTTCGACCGATTACTGTTATCACATCTGGATTTCCTGGCCATCCAACATACTTCAAAGTTTGACGGCCAAGGAACGGGACCTTCGTGGTAATTGCCAGGGTGGAGCGATTTTCCGAAGATGGAAGCCATTCTTATTCAGATTACTAACATGCAGAACCAGGGGAAATGAGCGATTGGATCTTTAAGCTTTTATAAACATGGCAGGAGCATTTACCAAGGGACCCAGAAGTGCCATTCAGTATTACTCAGTGGCTCGAAGAGGTAAGTCTACTGTCCTAGAAGGTTAAAATCCAGTCTCACTGAGACGTCTGTGTTGTAATCGACAAAATTTGCTTGGCAGCTTCAAATGACGCGTTTCCAGCAGGGTCAAAGAAACGACAAGTACGGAGCTGGATAAGGGTATTGTTTACAAATGTATAACTGACCACATACAATAAATGCCTCTACGATGATGCTTCTAAACTCAGAACAGCTACAAGCACCATGGTTTTGGTTCGAGTCAACAAATCTAGCTCACAACGTCCGTTGTACGAAGTCACCTCACTAAGGTGCACAGTGTGTTTATAGGATGGATGGGTCAAGCGGTGGGATTTGTGGAGCACGCAAATGGAATGCGGGCGGAGTAAGCCTCATGGGTTACTAAATCGCCCTATTTGGAGCATTCACCAACTAATTCACAGATGCAAATACACAAAGGAAGGAATGGTCAGACAGGCATAATCAGTACGACAGAAGTTCGGCAGACAAGTATAATCGGTGGGGCGCGAAGGCCATCAAAGGACCCTAATCGGTGCGAAGCATGGTATTGACAATCATAGCAATAATGAGACAAAGGTGTAGAGGCAAGTTAAAGTCGTGGAAATGCGAGATAATAACGATTTCGGGGAGCGTGTGGCTGGATTGCGCGACAAAATGGGGAGGCATAGTCGAAATGGTTGGTAGCGAAGGAAATATACGGGTAATTGTTATCTCGAGGTCCAACTGTTCTCTACAAATATGACAAAGGGAATGTCTGTAAAGTGACGCGGCCAGCGACTTAGCAAGAGTCGAGGAGGGGGCATTTTTAGTGCGGTAATTTGTTCGATACCATATATGAAAGGCAAAATTTTCAGAGGGTTGGACATTTAATGTTACCCTTAATGATCAACAACACGTTTGCACCATGTGTCACGCTTGTACAAACGTTCCTCCCAGGAATCCCCTTACAAATAAATAAGCTTTTATTCTGGACGATGCGAGACACCCGTATATCGGCATGATCGGGAAAGCGCATACATTGATCGTAGGTGGATCAGGAAAAGTGCATACCATATCACAGAGTGACGACTGGGAGGACAACGAAGAGGTACTAAGTAGTTGATTGAATTGTAAGGAGGTTGAATGACTTTTAACCGTTCTCTTACATATGAAGGAGCTAAACCACGGGTGATGGTATGATGGTGATACGTGCACTTGGTCATATGAAATCTGGACTGTGCTCGTAAGGTTGGCTGGTTGTATAGAGTAGTCAATTAAGTCAGCTGTAGGTGATCCTCCAGCTAAGTCACTGTGATTGGGACAACCACGTTATCGGCGTCTAAGGGACGATCTCATAACGGTGTACCTGATTTGTGAAACCCCAACCACCCATGCCAATCCCTTCTAATACTCAGTCAAAACACCCCGCCAAGAGGTCATCAGTTTAAGCTGGTCACGCAGTACAGTCGCCTCAAATGTCGGCGAAACTTTTTCTCCCTTCGAGTGTCACAGCCTTGGAACGCTCTCGCATATCTCTTTTCAAAAATTCGCCTTGACGAAAGTCTGTCACAATTACACTATGTGCTGTAGCCATTGACTACCAGAAGCCGGCACTAATGCACAACAAACAGTGGATAGTGCCATAACCCTACTCGAGAATGAGTCACTCCAAACCCCTTGCACAAAATTTGATACACGCTACTACTGTAGAAACTTGATTTCTGTATCCCGTAGACCCGAGATAGCTGCACACGTGTAAGCTTTGTCCTTGCTAACTTTTATTTTTTCTCTCGCCTATTACATGATCTATAACCACCCCCCTTAACGCTTTGTGTGCGTATATTCTAATTTCAAACCCTTTAAACGGCAGTACAGTTAAATCTGTAATCGCGTGAACCGACGATTTCATTATCTATTCCATTATCTATGTTTTCTCACTCTAAACACCCTAAGGGACATGCCAAGCACCTGCTTTTTGACCCGTTATAAATCATTGTTCATTGCTCCGGCTGAGCGCTCCGATTGTAAAACGACAATTATTCTACTGTTTGTGCAAACGCACATTTAATTATGAGGTCCTCGACAGCTAAAGCAGTGAACATCACGACCTTAAGTATAGAATATTGTCACATGCGGATGTCTCGGGAAGCAGTTATTTTGCATTTTTTATTACCATTATTACCATTTTTCTTCTTGACATTTACTGCTGTGGGTACGTAGGCAGACTACAGCTAGCCTGATTGGGGATTAGGTGTCGACACACCGCTGGTGATTCGTGAGGACAGAAATCCAATTATATCGAATACAGTAAAGAAAGGCAAATCAAAACCAAAGCGATTATCGATTTGCGTCCCGCATGTTGGCTGTACTCCGAGTCATTTATCTAACTATACCCATTGAAATGGTTGGTCGGCTGCGCGATATGTAACCAAGCTGAAATTCGAAGTTTTCTGAATGTAACTTGACAGGTTTCATACGTTCCACCCATGGAACCCTTAGGTTCGATTTTGAATTAGGAGACTATATTAAAACTCGTACTCACACATGGCCCATACTGTCACGTCACTATATTAATGAAGTTCACTCATGCACTCAATCTACTTCAGGAAAATTCGCACTTGGTGGCACAACCGCACTAAAGGCCTTTCTTCGAAACCTCCTCCAAAGCCTGGGTCGAGTGACATCGGTTGCTTGTTTATGGATGACTACAAACTCATACCCTACGAAGGCCTCTTTGATGAGTATCTAGAGATGGGTGAGTGGCGATTCGCGTTACGTAAGACCAACTGCCGTGTATTTTGAGAGATAGGAATCACGGATCAATGGCAATTTTGACTTGGTAGCCAAGGAGTCCATTTTCGTTGTTTCATGTTTTCCAAATGAGCTCTGCGTCCTGTAGTACCTCCGACGTTGCATTACATGCAGCCTGACAAGACTGTCTCCTGAAATTACACTCTGGGCCGTCTTCATTTACCAAGTTCTCTCAAATGGGTCACTTTATCCATTAACTATGCCCCAGTTGACAATATACTCTGCAAGAATTGTTATATTGTTACTGACTACTGCATAGACGCTAGTCAGACAGCCAAGTTAAGTTGGTATGCGTAGGTGGCTTGCCAAGAAAGATTACAACTCGGCCGCTTGAGACCAGCTTAATCACTTGCTCTATGACACAACACCATGTTAGTTGCTTTACATGAAGGAATCAGTCAATTTGGTACCATAAAGGTACGACGAAACGGTGCTTCAACAGCGAAGCACTATAAAAACACAAATCAAATTGGAGGATCCGCAGGAACAAAGACAATTACCTGTCGCCTGCTGGTATTTTATTACTATTAGAAGTTTAGCCGGAAAAGTGCCAAGGCTAAGGAAAGTTTTAATGACATTCGCCCATCTATAGTTAGATATTGTATTCCTCAAAGATTATCCAAGTGGTGCGCTATTCCGATGGCCGTCTCCCGATTACCTTATTAATTATCTACTCTCTAACAAATCCCACGTACTTTAAAAAGCATTGGACAATCATTTTGTCTCCTTGAAATATACCTCCCTTTGTTTAACCTCCACACATTCATTGAATTTGACTAAATTCCATCCCTGCTTTTTTGAGAAAAAGAAATGCTCCACTATCGTGTGTTCCTGCAAAGTGGTCGTATATTTGATAGTTGTAGTCGTAAATCAGGCGAACGATTCCACTCTCCGAACATAGGTAATGAGCCGGGTACTGAAAAATACTCTGTGGTATATTCCAGCTAGTAGCTTAGTTGCGTGGACCTTATGTTTTGGTTCGGAACATCAGCAGTGGGTATATGTTTTGAATCTCTTGGGATCAGGGGTCTTGCACCTCGACAGCGAACCCCGAGGAAGTCCTACGATCTTCTAAATATACAACCGCAATTATTTGTGACGGATCTCGCTTCTACGCATAATTTTTGTGAATACATATATTATGTAAAGTCCTGGAAAGCAACTCGGGAAACTTCGCATAGCCCCAGGTTTTAAATTTTTATTTCAAGCTGTAACTATTTGATTGGTTCTTCATGAATACATAAGCCTTCTGCTTCTGATTTGTCACCAATTTCCAAGTCCTCCAATTTGGGTTCATCACCATTTTTGTCGTGGCGTTTCCCCTGGCCCCGTTCTTCGCGCTCCTGAACAACTGGATAGAAATTCGATTGGACGCCAACAAGCTAGTTCGAGAAACTCGACGTCCTCTGGCAGAACGCGCTCAAAACATTGGCGTATGGTTCCAAATTTTGGGCTTCCTGGTTAAACTGGCCGTTATATCAAACGTAGGTGAATTTCTGCCGCTCTCTTTACTTCAAGCTTTCTTACTGATGACCCAACGTCAACTGTTCTATAATACCTGGAATATACTGTCACGAAGCAACTTCGGATGAGCGTATTGATAATAACTTCGTACTAAAAGCCGTTTCCATATAGCAAAATTCCTCTTACAAATTTACATGGGAACTTGACTGATAAAATGTGTGTATATAGTTTCGTCCATTTCACTTTCTTGTAGATTATACACGGCCACTTGACAGCTTTGTGTCAATGTAAAGACCGAATCTAGTCCGGTGTTTTGCTACAAGAACGACGAAATTACGCTTCGAGGAGACGATTGAAAATGTGTAGGACCTAATAGTATTCCTCAATAATGGCTAGCTAAAGGCATTCATTGATAGCAATGTGTGAGCTAACTTTGTGGTCGCCAAAACATCCACAAAAAGAAAGAAACCCGCATACTTATTGTTGATATTAAATGGATAAAACAGTACCAAATATGCTAGTGAACAATTAAGACTGGCTGGCATCAACACCGTTATACGTTATCTCCACTTCCATGCCCATACTACATCCAATTGAAAAACAAGTCCTCTGTGAATGTCACCCCCATCTGTGTGTACTAAGTAACTTGTCCTATGGGAATGGGATATGTTACCTAGCTCACACACCGAGACCTTTAGCTGGACACGTCCACGAGCATCCCCCAGCGTGAATAAGTCGATGGTTGAAAAAGACGTGCACCAGCGCAATAGTCTTATGCCTAGTCTAAACATATCATCCCATCATTCTTGGGTCTTGGAGTACCCACTGTATGTCTGGATTGTGACACTCAATCTCAGTTGGGACCATGGTTTGCTTTGAAGCAAACCTGCGCCATTTTGTTCAGTGGGTGGGCATCTGAAGTGGAGAGTTTTGGGGTTGTCCTCTCCCATCACTGTAGTCCACGACACATTTCGTCCTTGTTTGGACTCATCAGTTAGAGATAGCCTGATCTTGGAGTGGAACACAGCACATAGTGTTTGGCAGCTATCGCCACGGTCACCTGACCATTTAGTTCCGCTAACAGCGCTTGTCACAGCGGTTAGAAATTCATTATTGGGTCTTTGAGTACGCGCCGTGTTTGGATTGCGGCACGTCATCTCTGAAGTATTTCGCCCTTGGGAGGAGTGTCTACTTCAGGCTTTTCGGATCCTCACATTGTGGTAGGCGAGTGCAACCCATCTCAGCAGTTCGTCAAGGCTTTGCTCAAGTCTTGACTAACTGCCTTCCGGCCAGTATCCGCGTGTACAATACGCTCCCAGTATAGTTATTTTGACCCCTGCATTTTCTAGTTATGAAATTAGTTTAGTTTTACTGTCCATTGACGTGATCTAAGTGTTGGCCCTCAGCTGCGAGGTCTTGGTTTAGACTATCGCTTAGACTATCTTTACCCGAAGAACCCAGTCCTAGAGTGCAGTGTTGGGTGCAAACTACTTAGAATCTCTGCAATCCGAATGCGGTCCCAGCTACCGTAGCAGCACAGGTTTAGTTTAATGGGGACCATGACCTCGTTCAGGATTTCGTATCTCAACTCAAATACAAAGCGAGCACTCTAAAACTCAACAGCCGATGCTTTCCCATGTTGAACAAGCCAAAATTTTACTCGAATCTCTTGTTTTACTGTAACTCTTTTCCCTGTGGCAGCTGGGAACAATACGGGTTTTGCACGGCAGTCATATTAATGATTTACTTCTATTACTCAGATGAGAAGATGCTATTCAAAACGTCGTCAAGGCAGTTCATGCTAGTCCCCTACTTATAGATCCCTGGATCACATTTTCTAGCTCGTCCCTTAGTAAGAGTAACTGTGCCAATGAGAACTCTTGGACGTTGGCGGTCTTATGCCTAACTTTTGGCCTGATTAATTCAGGTTACAGTCCTAATGCTACTCCCGTATGAATGGTCTTTTTAGTAAATTTCAACCGAATGCTTTAGTGGTTATCTACACGCCTTGTAGCACGTCTACCAATTTATTCAGGCCAAGCGATGACTTTCATCAAATCGGCAAACAATCTCGTAAACAATCGGGCATTTTCCGCTGACGCTTTTGCGTGCTAGATTAGCTGAATCATCGACTAGGTTCAAGAGGTAGGATAATCAGTTGGGGCGTTAACTTGGTGTGGAAGTGGATAGGTTGGAGAGGGGTAAGTATTAACTAGGCCTTTTCTAAGTAGATTCCATCCGTGTTCTAGCATAGATCTCTTAAGACGGTTCTTACTGACATCACATTTCATCAAGCGGGCGTAAACTCTCCCAAAATACGTACTGTTCATTGAGAGACCAATGTCAAGTCAGCCGATAGACTAACAGTTGAGTACACAGCGTGAGATGCTATTGGCTGATTCGGAATCGGACATTCAATGAGCAGCGGTATTTAGGGGCGTTCGCGCCCGTTGGGTGCAACTTGAGAGATCTGCGGGCAAACGTGACTTACTTATGGAAGAATTTGGGAGCACTATCGGTGCAGTTGATTGAGAAGGGGTACAGTCTAACCCAACTAGTACACGCTGCGTGGTTTTTGATTTTTTGTTGAGCGTCACGCTAGGAATAACAAGTGTTTTTTCTTTGCGTGCTGAGTGGATCATACATGGGGAGAATGAATGTATTTCCTTGATACTAACAAATGTAACGGAACGCAGCTGTGTCATTTAACCAGACTAAATGAAAGTTGAATTGCATCCGCACCAAACTCACAGTTACCTCCACCGTGCCTCCTAGTTGGTTACCGCCTAGTGACCAAGCAATCGGTCTAGGAATCTCCAACTACAACTCACCTTGACCCCCAATTGATCAAAACTGAACAGTCTATGGATATCAGTTGTGCGTAATGACATGTCACAACCGCTGCTACTAAAGCTTGTTTAACGGAACAGAGGCATTTGCTTGTGCAAATGATTGTCTGTAAGTTCACTCCAGACCGTGTGATACAAATCGCTATCCCTTTCTTCCAATTAGTAGTTCAACGTTGTAGTTACACATTACATAAATATTAACCTTTTTTAAGCCTTACAATCACCTACTCCCAGTAAACTATGAAGAAAATCGGAAATTGTAACACCAACAAGCCCTTGTCCTGGAGCGTAATATCCTTAACGCAACTGAATTAGCTTAGGAGTAAAATAACAAGTCCAGGTTGAACGGCAAGCATTACCAAAAAAAGCCAACTGAGCGAGTGTAGCACGTTTTTAAAAATTACACTGCATTTGTCGTCACTCTGTAGGCCCGTTCGAGACGAGTTAAATTTCTGAAGACAAACATCATCCTAGACTTTACGTTTCTATTCTGGGGAATGTTTGAACACATATTGGGCAGGTTCACAACCCCATCTATCTTGAATTCGCTCGCCGGATTGTTCCGTCCTGCAAATGAGTTAAGTCTGTGATATGTATCATGCGAATCCGACTACGTGAAGCCTCCCTTAAGGAAATGCATGGTCGCATTAAGAAAAGTTTGAAAAGCATCGCGTTGAGCCGCCCTGTGTCATTTTTGTAGCATATCAAACGGAAACACTAAACGGGTTCGATGCCTGCTAAGTCCATCTGATGGGAGGTAATAACATCGAAAAGCGTTACAGTAGTGCAGTGTTTTCGGGCGGGCAACACCTAATTTCTACTAAACGCATTAGCTTTATGCAACCCACCGCAGAGTTTTCCTTGTTTTTTTTATTTTCCACAGGGGTTCATAGTTGCGTTCACATCAGAATTCCTGCCAAAGCTGCTCTATAAATATGAAATGCGGGAAGATCTTGTGGGGTTTACAAACTTCACACTTGCTTGGTCCCCGGTGAATTCGACCAGCATTCCATGCCGGTAAGTAACTACCAAATACCCTGTAGTATACATTACTTGTTAGCTTCGTATCACTCTATGGGTATGCAGTTAGCTCACAGAGGCATCTCGGTCACCAAATTACTGCGCAACAAAAACCTTTTTAAGTTAACCGAAGTTGATGATTCCGAGCACGGTCAGGATTCTAAGGGGATACTTTGTCAGAGAAGAGTAGATTTTACCGGTGTCCTCAAGACAATCTGAAGCATTGCTAGTTTTTTTATGCATTAATATCTATATGATTCTATTGTTCAGCATAACATACCATAGATGTCACCGTACATGCGGTCAACGAACGTTGAAATGCTTTCAAAAAACCTAACCACTAACAAAAACTGGTTACGGCAGATTTGGCCTTCTCGAGAGAAGAGACTGAGACTGAGACTGTGTTTAAGAGCAAGTAGAGAGGTTTCTGGACAACTCTATCGAATTACGAAAAATCAGAAACATTTAGTTGTGAATCATCAGCAGTTGTGTCTGGTCCGTTAATCGTTTATCCGTGTTCGGTTAAGAATTTGTATTGGTGTCATTATTTCCGGGCATACAATGTTTTCTTTTGGCATTGTATGTGCATCGTTTCACAAAAGCACAGTTTTCCGAAATAATCATCGACACGGGTTTTAAAACACTTCACCGAATCGGCCTCTAATAATCCTTCGGGTAGCGTATTCCATGGGTTTACGATTCTTCGTTCGATACAAATCTGATATGATACTTTGTTCATGCTGGGGACCCTGAGTTTGTAACGGTCTCCTCGTGTGTTACAGGGTTCCCGCAGGTGAAATATTGGCCGCAGTATGGGGAAGTGATTTAAGTGTAGTACTCGATGGGTCATAATAAGGTCAATTCTTACTCGGCGATAGGATAGTGTGTACAGTCCGAGCCTATCACAACGTTTTTAAAAATAAAGCTTTTGTAAACTCGATGTCATTCTAGTTGCGATATGCTGTATTTTCTCCAGATTTTAGTTTCCCATTGGGTTATCGGATGATAAGCTGGGGCACCGTATTCAAGGATTGGTCTAATGAGCGAGGTGAATAGACGAGGGACGGTTTCTTCCGACCGTGTGCAGAAACTGCGCCTTAATGCCCAGAGCATACGAAGTGCCGCACGGTACAATTTTTCTGTATTTTCTAGTGATCTCAAATCATGTCGTGAGAGAACTCCTAAGTCTCTAACAGATGTGTTGGGATGGAGCAACTGACCGTCCAAGGTGGCTGGGCGTCTGTTGATACTGATGAACTCCGACTTGCTTGCGTTCAGAGGGAGTTGCATTTCAGTGGACCACGTTGACAGTCGCTCTAAGTCAGGCTGGAGGCGAGCGCAGTCGTCCTGGTTCTCAATGATCCTCCAGATTTTCAAATCGTCTGCAAACAGGGCACATGGTGACTGGAGCTGCTGCGGAAGATCGTTGATATGAATAAGAAATATTACTGGCCCAAGTATAGTTCCTTGAGGCACAACACTAGTCGATGGGAACCAGTCTGTCAGGTAGTCATTGACCTGTACTATAAACTTTCGTCCCACAATAAACTCATGTAATCACTGAAGTAACGTGCCACCGATTCCGTATGTCCTCAGTTTACCAAGGAGTACCTCGTGGTTAACTCTGTCAAACGCCTTACTAAAGTCGATGTACACCACGTCAACATCCTTCCGTTCGTTGAGAGCTCGTACCCACTGGTGGTTTGCGTACATCAAGTTTGTGATGCAGGATCACCCCTTTGTAAAGCTGTGTTGCGCTGGCGTCAATACGTCCATCGATTCGAAGAATGATAGCAGACACTTTTTCACAACCTTCTCGAGCACTTTGGGTAATACCGAAGTCATACAGATCGGTCTATAGTTCTCCACTTTACTCGGATCACCACCCTTGGGAAGCGGTCTCACCATTGAGCATTTCCAGTCGTTCGGGACAGATCCTTCAGAGAGCGATTCATTGAAAAGTTTTGTCACGGCTGGTGAGATGATAATCGATAGGGACTTGAGTATTAGTGAGTGAAGTCCGTCTTGTCCGGGGGGCTTTACACCATCGAGGTTGACGAGTAGCTGGTACACTTCGACTGCATCACATTGTAGGCTGTCGAGCAAGACTGGCGCAACCTGTGCCGGTACTGAAACCGCCGTCGGTTTACTGAAAAATACAATGAGGAAGTGCGTAACCAAGGCGTCCGCGTGCTCCATGCTTGAAATAAGCGTCTTTCCGTCTAAGCTCTCTAAGACCGGTAGGTCACCCCCAGGTTTCAGTTGACGTTTCAAGTAGGCAAATATTATTTTGGGTGTATTTGTGGTCGAGGATGCTAGCTCCTCTTCGAACTGCCGGCGCTTCTTGATCTTTGCGGTGTTACATAAGTTAAGCTGTTTCTTTTACACCGTATAATCTTCATCACAACCCGAGCTGATGTATCTATTCCAAAGTTTGCGACGCCGTCGCGCTAACTGTCTATATTCCGTATCAAACCAATGCGGTTTGACTGGTCCGATTTTTGAATACTTAAGGGGAACGAACCGAGTACAAAGCGAGTGAAGCTTCCCCTTCATTAATGACCAACAAGTCTCAAGTGACGCATATTGTGATAGTGTCCAATCAGTCTGACTTGCAGCTTGGACGAGCCCGTTGAAATCCGTCTTCCAATAGTTGAATGTCGGCTTCCGTTGATTGTAATATGGTAACGACAGTTCTAAGCTTGCCACAATAGAGCAGTGGTCACTGTTCGCAAGAGGCTCGGTGATTCTGATCTCGTTCAGCTTCTGCTCGCGGCTCAAAAACATTAGGTCCAGGCAAGATGCCGAGTGCGGAGTTACGCGCGTCCGTTGGATGACATGTTGCTTTGCCCCGATTTCAATAGTCATTTTAGCGAATTGTGCCTCAACGTTGCCATGACCGGGAAGAAGTCGAACTTCTGGCCAAAATATCTTAGGTAAATTTAGATCCCCATCAGTAAGAATTGAGAGCGACTCATGTGCTTCTGTACATGTGGTAGCCAATCACAACAGCGGTTTAATGGGCTCTGGTAGATAACGCCCACTATTAGTTCTGCACGTCTGAGGCGGATTGTGCACCATAATTGCTCGCATAAACTATCCTCGCTCTGATAGGTGCTGGTGAGTTTGCCAGATAGTGACGATTTTATGTACAACAGAACACCACCTTGAGCCATTGATTTTCAGTCGCATCGGAAACAAGAGTATCCAGACAACACGACTTCTTGGGGTATGGCATCAGAGTTCAGCCAAGTCTCTGCAAGTCCTAAAACGTCCGGCCGCTCCGAGACAACGAAGCGGCACAGTTCGTCACGTTTGTTCATTAAGCTGCACATGTTGGCGAATGCCACACGGAGGTCCTGGGAGGTACTGCGGGACGTGCCTGGAGGTTGAGCAACCGGTTGATAAGGGTTCGTGTACCTATCTTGATCACCCGAAAATCTACAATTTTTAAGTCAGTCTCACCTTCCTCTGTACGGCGTTTGAGCTCAATGACCGCAGTCTTCAAAGGATCCAGAGCAGTATTTCATGGTGTATCGCGTCAACTCTACTGGATATTCTTTAATTTTAACAACCTAACCCACAGGAGTGCGACGTTTGTGCGAACACTTTTAAATGTTGCACTCTGAGCTGGATACCTTAATACTAACTGCCGTTAAGGACATCTACCCGCTCTCACTCAGGTGGCCACACTGTATGATTTGAGACTCAGCGCACCCGCTCGGATAACCGCGCTGCTGCAGTATCTCTCTGCTAAAATTGCGTGGTAAATATATAACCATGTTTGCTTATCTAATGGCCATGCACTGATGGTCTAGAAGCTAGGTGGGTGTCCTTCAAGCAAATAGTAACACCTTTATGCCCACAAAGTATTCCCTATGATGATGTTGCTACTCTCTCCCAACTTGTGTCAACTTTGAGTAAAACGGGCTGGCTAACTTTATTTGTGTTAAACGACGTTACGGATTGCCGGTGCGTTGCCGGCCATGATACTGATGGTGTGCTTTTTCTCATCGTGAATAACGTTAACGTTGGCTGTGAGTTCGATGATTGTTGTGATTACCACTGGGCGTATCCTCCCGCACTGTTTTTTCCCGACGTCAATAAACAGAGAGCGAAGTGGTGCAAATCGAGCAACCGGAACAGTACTTACATATGCGCAGAAATTAATTACTACTAAGGCGTTATGCGTAGTCTGGCATTTGTTCAGTGCTAAGTTTGAATAAGTTCAGCCTGGCATGTATTTTGGTCAGTAATCAGCGCGAAACAGCTTGTCAGCGGTAGAATTCCATGCCTGTGGACAACAAATGTAGCGGCTTAAGTAGGTGCGCTAGCATACACAAACACATGCCATGAACTTGTCGCATGACATGAATAATCGTACCCAAGTGAACATGGACTTTTGAAACTCAAAAAGTCGGAGCATGCTTGCTTTAATAGATGAGTGAAATGGAGGTGACAAATTGCAGTCACTATTTATGAAATAGCATTTTTACAGTCAAGTGTAAAGGAGAATGAGTGAGGAAAGTATAAAGCTACGTGACGAAATGACGACCTAAGCTGTAACGATGTGCACTTCCTGTGCTTTATAATGAATGGAATGACCCACATACGTAACCTACAAGAGGCATAGAGGGACCTCCTGAGGGATTTCCAGCATATTGCTACTTTTGGGGAAAATTGGAATGCCTACATTTTTCCACAACTTTCAGCACAGTCGTTCGGTTGATGGTGACTAATGCCATAGCCGGTAGTCTACGAAACGACATTCCACAATGTAGCCAGTTGTGTGGCTAATTCAAATAAACTACGTCAGTTATTCGACTGCTTTAGTACTTGAGTCAAGGGGTAATTAGATACAACTGAATTCGAAAGCGCGTCTCAAGATGGTTGACACAAGGAGAAAAGTATTTGAGTGACGTTCCAGGTAATTATGGTACAATACTTGTCGAGTGTCCATCTTCTATGTTCATATCGTAAATAAGTCTCATTCCACA